TTGTAAAATGAGTCCTTCACCTTCCCATTGGTCAGACGCGTCATGGGAAGGTCGGGTCCCCAGTATGAGATGATTTCACACAGGAGTCTGAAGAATCCTGTGGGGGTCAGCAGCCAGCATCTGGCTGTTTTGCCCACTCCCAACCTTCCTGGGCCTGGCTAGCTAGTCACGGGCTTCATGAGTGAGCCGGGCCAGGGGGCATGATGAGGCAGAGGGCACAGTCCAGGATGGGATAGAAAGGGCAGACTTGAGCAGGGCAGAGGGCTAAGGCCTGAAGCTGAGTTACTTGGTGCTGGGTTGAGTGCCAAAGAGGAATATGGGTAGAAGAGGCAGACAGTGGTGGGGTGCTGGGGTAGGAGAGGTGAGCAGGAGTGGAGTGCTGGGGTAGGAGAGGTGGGCAGGAGTGGGGTGCTGGGGTAGGAGAGGTGGGCAGGAGTGGGGCGTTGGGGTAGGAGAGGTGGGCAGGAGTGGAGTGTTGGGGTAGGAGAGGTGGGCAGGAGTGGGGTGCTGGGGTAGGAGAGGTGGGCAGGAGTGGGGTGCTGGGGTAGGAGAGGTGGGCAGGAGTGGGTGCTGGGGTAGGAGAGGTGGGCAGGAGTGGAGTGTTGGGGTAGGAGAGGTGGGCAGGAGTGGGGTGCTGGGGTAGGAGAGGTGGGCAGGAGTGGAGTGTTGGGGTAGGAGAGGTGGGCAGGAGTGGGGTGCTGGGGTAGGAGAGGTGGGCAGGAGTGGGGTGTTGGGGTAGGAGAGGTGGGCAGGAGTGGGGTGCTGGGGTAGGAGAGGTGGGCAGGAGTGGGGTGCTGGGGTAGGAGAGGTGGGCAGGAGTGGGGTGCTGGGGTAGGAGAGGTGGGCAGGAGTGGGGTGCTGGGGTAGGAGAGGTGGGCAGGAGTGGGGTGCTGGGGTAGGAGAGGTGGGCAGGAGTGCAGTGCTTCATCTCCTGGCAGAGTCCCCGTGTCTCTGTGAATCAATGTAAGGCCAGTTCCTGCAAACAAGCCTGTCCTACGCACACCTGGTGAGCCAGTTACAGCTGAGCACTTTGCACAGAGGGGACAAAAGGACAGGCCACCACTAGGCTGGCGGCCCCCAGCTGAGCCGTAAATGACTTTTCCATTTGCCGAGGCCTGCGCCCAGGCCTGCTTGGTATTCAGGGACACCGGGTCCACACTCGCCAGCTCTCGGCTCTGCCCGAATTACTTGATTAAAACGCATATCAACTATTATGTGATTCGTTTCTCCTCCACAGCTCCACACCAGGGCCTATGTTAAACTGTAATAACGGGGCTGGGAGGAGGAGGGAGAGGGGTGCAGGGAACGGGGCCGGGAGGGCCTCTGTGAAGGCGCAGAGTAGAGCCCCTTGTGTCTCTGGGCTAGTGCTGGCTTCCGCTGCCTGGAGGTGAGGAGGCCTTGGGAGGTGTGTGGCTTCAGAAACCAGCACCATCTGCAGGACTCGTCCAGCCAGAAAGAGGAGGGAAAGGCCGGGGAGGGCAGAGCAGCCACCGAGATTTTAAAATCACAGCGGGCTCCTCAACGAAGCCGCCATGGCAGGTGTCCACCGCCGTGGAGGCAGGGTTCTCGGCTTTTTGTTCAAGCCTCACTGCTCCAGGGCTCCACGGGCACCTGTAAAATGGGTCTGCCCTGTCTTCTGGCTTTCCAACTGATAACAATTGTTTCGTGTTAGCAGTGTGGAGGGTCTGCAGCCCTGTGCATGGAGACGGGTCCTGCAGGATGCCAGATTCAAAAGGCGCTTGGCATTGCTCTGCTGGGCTGTGAGCATTGGTGCTGCTGTCCTGAGCACCTGCTGCGTGCCAGGCACCATCCGTATCACAGTCCAGAATCTGCTGGCTTAGCAAGACCAGGAGACCCGCCCACAGACATGGCCACTGTCTCCAGAGACTTAAGACATGACTCTGTGTATGTGTGTTTTGGAGGATGGGATGTGCGTAGGGACCAGAGGCCAATCTTGGGCGTCGTTCCCCCAGGAGCGGTTTATTGGGATGGGGTGGGTATCTCACTAGGACTTAGGGCTTGCCAGATGAGCTGGGATAGTGGGCCAGTGACACCTCCTCCCCAGGGATTTGTGTCTGCCTCTCCTGTGCTGAGGTTACAGGTGCACTCCTCCACTGGCTCTTTATGTGGTAGCTGGGGCTTGAACTCAGATCCTCATGCTTGTGAAGTGAGCACTTGGCACGGAGCCATCTCCCAGCCCTTCATCTCTGTTTTCTGATGGTTGAGACTTAAGAGCACCCCCGCAGTGCTGCTGAAATCTGCCTGGTCTGGCTCCTTGCTGGAAGGTCACCCATTGTGAGGGGTTGTATGGATAAGCAGGTTCCATCCCACAGCAGCGACATGGCTAAAGGTAGAGACGGAGGCGGCCCTACATATTCATATAGGAAGCGGTAAGCTTAATTGGGAGCCTGGTATGTGGGAGTATAGAGTCTGGATACACAAAGGGCAGATGGTTAGTAGCCTCACTGGTTTACTGAGACTTCTTGGCTTAGTCCAGCACTCGATGGCAGCTTCCTGTGATGGAGTGAGCTCTAGAAAAAAGACCCTGAGGAAGGCAGAAGCAGTGTGGCTGGGAGAGGTTATGGTAGCCACTCCCAGGGACTTCCCATTCTCCGTTTGTCCCCCACTGGCAGCATGGACTGTGCTATGCTGGGCTGTGCTATCCTGGTCTAGTCTATCCTGGGCTAGGTTGTCCTGAGCTTTAACAAACCTGGCATCTCTGGTCCCTGAACTGTTCTCAGGTTTCCCTGACTTTTGTGGGTCATGTGGCAGTCTTGATGTCTGATGTCTGTCCATGCACCCATTTGCTGGATACAGTGCTTCCTACCTTGGACTAGGATGTCCCAGCACAGGAATGATACCTCTTCCATCAGACTGGAATCTTCCTAAGACAAACTGTTTCTCCCCATAAGATTGGGTGCCCCCAGTTAGAGACGTTCTTCCTTGCTTGGCATGGGCCTCCTGTTCCTCTAAGCAGAAACAGGATTGAGGGCAGACTCCTTACTGTCCCTTCTCTTTTGAGTTGCTGCTTGGGACCTGCATCCCCAGCTGCAGAGGAGGAAGGCATGGGCCACAGCTGGCCAGGAGCTGCTCCCTCCTGCCCACCCCGAATCTGCCAATTATTTAATGAATACTTTTCCATGTCTGCATCCCCACAATCCTCTCCCCAGGCCTGGTGCCCAGGCCCCAATGATCCACCAGCTTCCCCCCACCCAGAGGACTCAACCATAGCCTGCAGGGCCACCAACACACTTAGTCTTGATTAATTTAACTCAGAAGGTGAAGGGTTCCCAGGGGTAAAGAAGAGGTGCTGAGAAAGTAAGGCACAAGGAACTTCATCAAGGGCGCTGAGAGGCGGCTTGGAGTCTCAGGGTTCTCTGTCCCCCCCCCCCCCCCCCGCCATTTTTCTATCATCTTTACTGTCATCACTAATAATAACAATCCTTCCTGTGCACTTCCGTCCCAAATCACTCCCTGTCCACTTTATTCCATTTCCAAAGTCACCAGGGTGGGGGAGGTGCACAAATAGACTTCATCCTCTCTCTCCAGTTGGGGGAAACCAAGAGAGGGAGTGGCTCCTTCAAAGACACATGAAAGCAAATGACAGACACCTGGATGCAGTTCCCAGCTGGACCACAGTTGTTCCTGGAGTCCTCAAACACCCACGCTATCTCCCAACGACGTCCCTGAGTATGCACTGGTGGGTCGTTCAGAGAGGAGAGTGCGGACTGACTGCAGTGTAGACACTTACCCAGAGACTTTGTACGCCCAGCCTGCCTTTCTGTGACTGTCTCTCCATAGGCAGTGCGTGCAGGCAGCTTCTGAGTCTCTCTAGCTTGCACTAGACTGAGCGCTCTGGGCAGAGTCTAGGTCCCACCTTGTCCTCTGGGTGCTGGACCTATGCAGGAACATGGTAGGTGCTGGGTAAATGACCTGTGAATGAATGGGTGAGTGAATGAACGAACACACGAATGAACAAAGAGGCAAAGGGGGAGGGAAAGAAAGGAGGGTAAGAAGAGGGAGAGACAGAGGAAGGGACAGGACGGCTCAGTTGTCTCTCTTCTGTTCCACCAGACCAGAGAAGGGCAAGAGATTCAGGGACACTGGTGGGGATGTGAAGCCAGCTCTGTTCCCTAGGTCGTAGCCCCAAGGACTGGGACAACTAATCAAGCCACTTCTTTTTCTTTTCTTTTTTTTTTTTTTTGAGACAGGGTTTCTCTGTGTAGCCTTGGTTGTCCTGGAACTCATTCTGTAGACCAGGCTGTCCTGGAACTCACAGAAATCCGCCTGCCTCTGACTCCCAAGTGCTGGGATTAGCAGTGTGTGCCACCACCACCCAGCTGATCAAGCCATTTCTGCCACCCCCCTCCCCAGCTGGACTCAGAGCTCAGCCTGTCACCCTTTTCCTGAACAAGCCTGACTCCAGTCTCCTGCATGGGAGACCAAAGCCTTTACCTTGAAGGCTTTCCCCTAAGGTGGAGTCGCTCCTTGCTTACTGGTTTATGTTTTCCTGCATTTCTTAAAGACAAGCTTTACTGACATGGAGTAAAACCGCAACCACTCTCCTGCCTCAGAGCTGATCATCCTTTGAGGATTTTTCAAAATTTATTTTGCATTTATTCCGGAGGAGGGGTACATATCACAGCATGCGTGTACTTGCGGGAGTGGGTTCTCTCCCTCCAACATGTGGTTTCCAGGGACTTAAACTCAGGTCGGCAGGGTTGTGCAGCCTTTACCCCCAGAGGTACCTCGATGGCACCTATCCTTTGAGTTTTGAGAGATTTAAGTTCAGGGGCATCCATGTCGATGTAGATACTCTAAATGCCTAGCTGGAGGGAACTAGCTTTAAAAGCAATGGACTACTTGGGCAGAAAATGTTTACCCAGTCTCCTCGGCTGGGCATGGAGGTTATCTCCCATCCTTCATTGCTAAGCCATGATGTGACAGTGTTCAGAGAAAGACACAGGCGTGACCTGGGCTCACTGTGTCACCCACTGCAGGGAACCGTCTGGACGAGGGCTCAGATGTGGAATCAGAACCTGACCTCCCACTGAAGCGCAAGCAACGTCGCAGTCGGACCACATTCACTGCCGAGCAGCTGGAGGAGCTGGAAAAGGCCTTCGAGAGGACCCACTACCCAGACATCTACACCCGAGAGGAGCTGGCACAGAGGACCAAGCTCACGGAGGCGCGTGTCCAGGTAGGGAGATCTGGGTGCTCGCTGGAGTCAGGGGCTGGGGTGGAGGAGGTAATGGGACAGCTCCTGAGTGTGGTGGCACTCGCTTGCTCCAGAAGTTTCCCATGGGTGACCCTGGGATCACGTACATAGTATACACCCAGCAGTGCACGTTGGCTGATTGATTTACCGATTAACAGAGAGGCTGAGAGCCCAAAGCGGAGGGGGGGACGCAGGGAGAGATGAGAAGAAAGAAGAGAGGGCTGATGGGAAAGAGAAGCTGGAGAGTAGGCAGTAGTCGGTCAGAGAAGAGGGCAGGCACACAGAATCTCTAAACCTCCCATGAGGAGGGAAATTTCCCAGCAGCCCTGTCTTTCTCAGGCAGGTAATGACTTTCCCATTGCTAGAAGAATGCAAGATGTGTTCTGGGTAGGTTCACCCAAGGCCCCAAACGCCTGAAGTACACAGTCCCTAATCAATGGGGCTGGTGACAGGGGAAAGAGCCCAGGCTGAGGTTCAGGTCTCCAGGGGGATGCGTAGGGGGGAGGGGCAGCCCATCTCATCTGCCCCAGGCTGAGCCCTGGGGACCCCCTTTCCTGTAGAGCACAGACTACACTCATCTCTGCACCTGCCTGGAGAGGGCTAAGGCTGTGGGGGAGATTGGGGGAGGGCAGGGTGACTTGATGTGTGACTTGCACGGGACCTTTGTCCTGGACTGTTAGGCTCATGTACAGAGGAAGTGGTTCTGCAGAGGGGCTGCCTCAAACCATGCCATCCCGAGAAGTGGCTCTTCTCAGCAACCCCATGGCTGCCAGCCATGATGTTGAAGGAGATGGCGTCTCATCAGGTTGGGATGGCCACTCCCCAAACCCAAGTCACGATAGAGTCTGGAGCTCAGAGAAGTGGCCTGCGGGACACAGAACTAGACTGTGGCAGCTTGGCCTGGCTGACACTGAAGCCTACCTTCTTCCTGTACCCAAGAGGAGGAAGCTGACTCCAAAGCTGGAATTAGAGAGCAGTAAGGAAAGTCCTAGAAGAAACTGACCTTAAACCCTCCAGGAGTCAGCGAACCCCATTCCACTATTCCACTGCCAAGGGGAAGAGGGCAGCCCCTCCCCTCCCCTCCCCTCCTGCTGACACTGGAGCTGCAGACTGCCTTCCTTCTCTCCTTGATCCTCGCAGCTGTTGTCCTGGGAGCATTCCTCCGAGCTTTCTCATTGCCTAGTCTGGCAGCCTCATGGCTTCCCACCACCCGGAGCCTGGCAGCTTCCTAGAAAAGTCCTGGGTCATCGGGGCAGTGCTTTCATTGGCCCAGGGGACAGGGAAACAGGTGTTACTCGAGGTTCAGGGAGGGAGGTCTGGGAATGGAGGAAGCCAAGCCATAGTGAACCACAGCAAGGCTACCAGCCATTGATTATCTGGGTTCCTCCCCTCTCGTGGCCTGGTAGCTCCCTGGGTAGGATAGAGCAGAGAGGAAGAAACAAAAACAAAACTATAGTGAGGCTGGCCCAAAATCTTAAGACTTGGTGCTAAGGGAGGAGTCTGGAAGCACCTAGACACTTAGAGGCCCTGAAGGAAGGACAAGAACTGGCAGGACATCCACTCAAGTCCAACAGAGAAGTCTGCAGGAAGAGGCTCCAGTCGGAAGCCCTCCATCCCTGCCACTGAGTCCTCCCCTTTAGCAGCTTAGCCTCCTCTCCCAAAATGAAGTTTATACCAGGAGCTCGGGGTCGGAGCTCCGTGGTCGCCAAGACTCTTTTGGGTTCTGAGATCCCACTGGCATAGTGGATGCCCAGTGAGGGGATGAGACCCCTGGATGGAAATGTTCAAACAAAACACAGTGTTCGTGGATTGGGAGCTCTGATGAGGGGTTCCTGTGTGGGGAGTGGGCCAAGGACTCAAGGCCCTGGGTGTTATTGTGATCCCCCAACTCTGTGTGTCTCGCCACTTAGCCTCCGTTTCAAAGAATCTGTGTTTCTGGGGTCTCACAACCCTGGGACATCTCATCTCAGTGTGTGGGCAGGCAGAGTGCTTGACATGGGCGTGGAGGTGGAATCTGCACCCACATATCCTCCCTGCACCAGTGTCCTTCTATGCAAAACGGAGACCGTGACAGCAGGGTCTGCTCGCTTCTGGGGTTGCATGACTAAATGCAAAGCAACAAGGTGTTAGGGACTATGGTGAGCTTGTAGCTCAGTGGGCAGAGTGCTTACCTAGCATGCACAAGGCCCAGCACTGCATAAACTGGTTGGTACACACCTGTAACCTCAGTACTTGGGAGTGGAGGGAGGAAGATCAGAAGTTTAATGTCATCCTTGGCTACCTTTCAAGTTCAAAGCCAGCCTAGACTATAGGAGGCCGTATCTTTAAAAAAATCCAGATGGTGGCACACACATTTAATCCTAGCACTCAGGAGGCAGAAGCAGGGGGATCTCTATGAATTTAAGATCAGCCTGGTCTACAGAGAGAGTTCCAGGAGAGTTGCATAGAGAGACCTTGTTCTTTTCTTCATTCAATTAGTATTCATTTATTGAGCACCTATGGAATGCTCACCCTGCAGGGCATAAGGAATGCAGGGCCTCTGCCCTGGATTTCCTGAACCTGAAGAGAGGCTGAGAACTAGGAACAGATAAATAGAATGATGGTTGATGTGAGCAGGACCTCCCTTGAAGGGGCAGGGGGCTCACTTGCCCCATCTTAGATGCAGCCATGAAAGTGTTGGTGTAGGAGGGCTTTCTATCTGAAAGCCAAAGAGCCCGACGTAGAAACAACCTCTGGTAAGAGGGAGCAGTGTGTGTAAAGTCAGGAAGTGGAAAGGAGTCCCCTGAAGCAAGTGTGTGTGTGTGTGTGTGTGTGTGTGTGTGTGTGTGTGTTTGGTGTGCATGCATGTATGTATGCACCTGTGCATGTCCTGTTCTAGAAGTTCCTAGGCTATGTGAGCAGGGCAGGGTCTCAGCCTCCAGTTGGCACAGCTGGGTGCCAAGGACATCCTTACTCAGGACATTCTGCATGTGTGGTGTCCTCTTAGAGGGCTTACTGGAAGAACTGCAGGTTTGGAGCAAGGATACCTTGGGCTGGAGCACTGCTCTGGGAAGAACACTTGACAGACTTCTCCAGGCCTCCTGTCACCCTGTCCTGTGGCTGTCACCTACTCCCTCTAAGTCCCTCACTGGTAAAACAGGGGTCATTCTAAAAGACCTCCCTGGGTAGTGGTGAGGGGAGCTGGTCTTTGAAGTTCTCTGCAGACCATCCTGGGCTGCACAACAGTGGGCTCTACTTCTTGAAAGAAGACACTGGCCATCTGGGAGATGCCTGCTGGGGTACCACCCCACCCATGCCTCAGCTCTCAGCAGGGACCCAGGCTCAGCATCTTTTCCCCTTCAGGTCTGGTTCAGTAACCGCCGTGCCCCGCTGGCGCAAGCAGGCAGGAGCTAACCAGTTGGCTGCCTTCAATCACCTTCTGCCTGGAGGTTTCCCACCCACTGGCATGCCCACCTTGCCACCCTACCAGCTGCCGGACTCTACTTATCCCACCACCACCATCTCCCAAGGTGAGTGTCTTCAGTTAGAAAATGAACAGTTCTGGCCTTGAAACCCCTCTTCACTCAAGGCTGAAGAATCAAGCCCTCCTGCCCCTCCATCCCTTCCCCTCCCCCCCCCCCCCGGGGCTGCACTGGGCCACTGAGACCTCTTAAGGAAGGAAGATCCTTTGGGCACAATTCTTCCAGTAGCTTCTAAGTTGCCGCACAGCCCCAGGAAGGGGAATGCTTGGGGGGGAAGGTGGTAGGGAGAGAGCTCACAATACCCAAAAGCCTTAGGAAATAAAGGTTTCCTTCCCCAGTGTCTTAGATGCTCCCCTGAATCTTGTTCCCACCCCAGCACACATAAGAAACCTCTTGATGGCCGGGCATTGGTGACGCCTTTAATCCCAGCACTCGGGAGGCAGAGGCAGATGGATCTCTGTGAGTTCGAGGCCAGTCTGGTCTACAGCATGAGTTCTAGGACAGCCTCCAAAGCAATACAGAGAAACTCTGTCCTGAAAAACCAAAAGAAAGAAAGAAAAGAAAAAAGAAACCTCTTGATGTCTGAGGCACAGGGCTGCCTCCTGAAGGGCCTGGAGGCTGGCATTCTGGAGGCTAAGGAGCCAGAGAGCCCTGTCCATGATTCTCAAGCCAGTGCTGAGGACATCAGGGTCCCAGCCTGAAACTTTGTACAGAGGTTCCCTACTGAGCAAAATAGCATAGTGGCCTGGAACAGAAGCAAGCTGAATTCAGTTATTTCAAGTGTAGTTCATTCATTGGCTTTGAGTCTAGCCCAACCTGACTGAGCCTAAACACCCCGGTCCCTTGCCCCCATAAGCTAGGACTCACTCTAGCTTTGTACCCTTCTCCAGCATGCGGGAAGGCACCTGTGGGTCAACAGTACCCACAAAATGCTAATAGGGCAAGTCTCATCAGGTACAACCTACAGTCCATTTATTGAGCACCTGCTGTATGCCTAACACAAAGCACCAGGACCTACCTGTGTGCAAGTTGCCTTGAGGTCTTCTAGATGTCAGCAGGGTGCCAGCCAAGCCCAGGCCAGTCTGTAGGGCTGCCTGGGAACCGGTCCAAGTCACCTGAGAAGCTGGTCCCTCCCCTCCAGAGGGCGTGTCTGGGTGGAAGAGCCCCCAGGCTGCTTTTGTCACTTGTTGATGACCTCTCTGGGTCTCTCCTCAGATGGGGGCAGCACAGTGCACAGGCCCCAGCCCCTTCCACCATCAACCATGCATCAGGGTGGACTGGCAGCAGCCGCTGCAGCAGCCGACACCAGCTCTGCCTATGGAGCCCGCCACAGCTTCTCCAGCTACTCGGACAGCTTCATGAACCCGGGGGCCCCCTCCAACCACATGAACCCCGTCAGCAATGGCCTGTCTCCTCAGGTAGGTGGCCTCTTTGCCCCATTCAGGGGTCCCATTGCCAGACTCCTCTTGGCCCTACTACCAAAGGGGCTCAGGGTAACCCAGGCTGACTCTCTCCCACAAGGGAAAAGTGTCAATCGTAACTCCGTGGTCTTGGGAACCCTCTGGATGCTAGAGACCCTGAGAGAATTTGAATGGAAAAACACATGTTCCTTTTTCCTTCCCTTGCCTGCATTGGTGATCATGGTTCTGGGCTGACCTTCCTCTTGCCGCCAAGCTAGAGATTGGGAACAGGTTGTAACTTTCCCCAAATAAGCAGGGACTGATTACTGGACCTGCTCTTGGCCCAGCATCCATTCTGAGCTTGATAACTGACCTATGGTGTTGTCATGTGCACCAGACACTTTCCTAAGTAAGCAGGGGAAAGCTGGTGCCGGGTTTGAATCCAAAACCAAGAGTTCTTTCTAGTCAGCACTTCCTGCCTGGCTTGTTGTCAGGCACAACCAACCATTGATTGGGAGGAAGGGATCTCTTCTAATGGTGGAGAGAATTGCTGCCGAGGTTCTGGGCCGGAAACACTGCTCTCAATTGGAGCTTAGAAACTCAGGTTCCCTCGTGTGCAATTGGTTGCTGGCTCAGTCACTCGTGGCCCAGTGAAGTTGTGACTTTGGAGAAAGGTGGAGCAATAATGAAGACCTTGGCGTGGTTATTGGTGGGTTTGTTGAACAGACCTGATATTTGGAGTCTGAGTGATTTTTGAGGAGCCAATGTGTTTGCTTCTGTAGCTACAACGGCTCCCGAGTCCCCCAAGTCTCTTCTGCCTCCCACCTGATTCACCCCTTTTCCAACTGTCTGCAGGAGCCAGGTTTGACAAGGGAAACAAACCGATCTGTAGCTATCTGTGTTGTATGGGAGAAGGTGCAGGCTTTGGGGAAGACAGAAAGCCTCCTTCTACTGCTCTGGGGCCGGTGTGCATCTGGGTGCTTTGCCCTGCTTACAGGGTCTGTTCTTAACACCCAGCCAGAAATACATCTGCGCTACGTGCACAGTTGTGTGTGTGTGTTTATCCTTCCACTGAGGGTGGCACATGGTCCTTCTCAACAGCAAGGGTTGAATGGAGTTTGGATGTAAGTCAAAAGTCTCACTCTCATCTTGATGGCCCTGGGGTCTTGGAAGGGATCTGTTGGCGGTAGGGAAGGAAGGCAATTTATGTTACAAGTTGACCTCCTTTGTTCTTTGGTCTCTGTCCCCAAATGGAAAGTCGCCCATGGTTCATCTAGGCCGCCATCGGAGGCTAAAGCTTTGATTTTTCTTTTTTTAGAGATGGGACCAGCCTGCATATCTTGCTGGTGGTCTGTGGCTGCCTGTGGGAAAACAGACCTCTTCCTATGTTTTGACTAGGATCTCTCATCCCCATCCAGTCTTGAAAACGGGTGGCTCTGAGCATCAGGGACTCTCTGGAGAGACCCAGCAGGATTTTGTAAGAAATCCCTTTATTCCTGGAAGTTCTACAAGGTTACCATTCTGGAGGTGACACCCCAGAGATCCACTGTACCTAGTGTGAGCAATACATCAGGAGGTGTCCCTGCTTTTGGGAGAAATCAGTAAAAACAAATGGGGAGAGCCTGACTTGGGGGGCCACCAGAGCAGCCAAGTCCGTAGTGACTCGATGGCAAGAGGACTGAGCTTTCTGCAGTCCTTGGGCAGACACTGTTCTGGTTGCTATTCATATTTCAACCTGTGTATGAGTCATGATTCAAACCCACATCTCACGAGTCCCAAGTCCTAACTTCTCTGCTGGATGGAGGAGAGGGGTTCTTCAATCTATGTTGTGAGTTAAAAAAACAAAAACAAAAACAAGGTCCAGGGTTGGAGAGATTGAGTTAGAGGTTAAGAGCACTGACTGCTCTTCCAGAGGTCCTGAGTTCAATTCCCAGCATCCACATGGTGGCTCACAGCCACCTGTATGTAATGAGATCAGGTGTCCTCTTCTGGTATGTAGTCATACACGCTGGCAAAACACTGTATGAATAATACATAAATAAATCTTTTTTAAAAATCGAGGTATGAGCACCTCAGATTGGAGGCTACTGGCAGAGTAGAGTCAGTCTGAAGCCTTCCTTGAGGCTCGGAACCTCTAATACCCCCACCCACAAACCCCCAACTTATAGCCCCAGTCATTAAGTACCCCATAAGGGACCTCCTGATTGTGCCCTGAGACGTTCTGATGAGGTACAGGGAAAGAGAAACCTGTCCAGGGACCTCAGTTCTGATGGCCTCTCTGGTTAAGACTTCACTCCTGTCTGAGGGTCAGCTACTTGGAGAATAACTTAGAACATAGCTCCTGAGAAACCGGGCATGGTGATGCACACCTGTAATCCTATCCAACACTTGGGAGCTAGGAGCAAGAGGATCAGAAATTCAAGGTCATCCTTAGCTACATAATGAGCTCAAGGTCAGTCTGGGCTACAAGAGACACTATCTGGGGGGAGGGAGGAAGGCAGGCAAGCAGACAGCTTTTGCAAGGTGAGTCCCTCGGGTCCTCAGCACTGCAGGTGGATAAGATGGGCAGTTGCTTCCAGTCCTTTTCCAGAAACGGTATGACAGACCCACAGGAAAAAGAAGATATCAGTCTGATGGAGGGGTCCCAATCCGATGGCAAAGCCAGACCCCTGACCTTAGGAGAAGCACGGCAGGGACACATTTCTTGTCTTGGTGCCCTGGTGTGATGGCTTCCCTTGTTGAGCTCCCAGTGGGTTTTAGAGACAGACGTCAAGAGGCTCTGATGAGCAGCCAAACTTAGCCACCTAGAACCCAACCACAGAGTCAGGAGGGGTCCTCAGGCTGCAGGCAGGGAACCTCTGGGGCCTCTTCAGGAGCAGACTTGTGGGACCTGGGGTCCCTTCTCACCCACCGTTAGTGGATGGACTTGGAAGTGGAAACTGAGGTCTAGGGAGGGCCTGGTGCACCATGATTCTTGCAGAGTCACACTCCAGACCTTGAGTCAAGGGCTCTTGCTGTTGTGTCACAGAAGATGACATGGCCGCAGCTCACACTCACTCTTCACACCCTCACTCGCCATCATCTTCTTTGTCCCTCTCCATATTTACAGTTCTCTACAAAATCGTCTGTAAAAGGCCATTAGTCACATGCCTGTGATCTCAGCAAATTAAGCCCCTTTGTCTTTTCCTCCTCTTGTCTGCTGGTTCCTTTTTCCTCCTGTGTCTAGAGTAGTTATACAGTACCCTGATAGGTTGGGGTAGGGAGTGTGGCTCAGAGGTAAAGTGTTGCTGACCCTGGACTAGGCCCTGAACTTAACCCCTAGCAGTATAAATGTAAATAAATGAATAAATTAATAATAATTAGAGTGACCATCAACACAAAGTTAATGCTGAATACAGACCAGGCATAGAAGCAGCAAACTGTGGTACCTCTTTCTATTCCTAGAATCATGGCAGTTGTCTTATGACCTCCATTCTAAAGGTGAGAAGATTATGTCATCCAGGGCCATCCATCCATCCATCCATCCATCCATCCATCCATCCATCCATCCATCCATCCTCTCTCAATCGCATTTATTCATTCATCCTATCCATCTATCCAACCAGCCACATATCTATCCATTCTCTCATTTATCTGTTATTCATCCATTCACCCACCTACTAAGTCATCCATCTATTCATTCATTTATTTACCAACCAATTCATCCTTCTATCAATCTACTCATACATATATCCACATATCTATACATCTACCCACCCACCCATTTATCCTCTCATTCATTCATTCATCCTCCTACCCACCCACCTGCCCACTAATCTCCTATCTATCCACCCAACCAATCCACAATCCATCCATCCTACAGTTTATTCATATATCCATCTATCTACCTATCCACCCATTCACCCTCCTGTTCTCCCTCCCTCTCATTTATCCATTTGTCATCCCATCCCATTCTATCCCATCCATCCATCAATCCATCCATCTATCCACCCATCCACATATCTATACATCCCCGTATTTATTCGTATGCCCATTCAACTATTAATTCACTCAATATACCTTTCCACCTATCTTTCCATCTATCCATTCATTCATCCATACGTTTACCCATCTACTCATCATCCATCCATCCATCCATCCATCCATCCATCCATCCATCCATCCATCCAATATGCTGTGCCAGTCTCTCCCAGGTTCTAGAAAGCATCAGAGCTAAGATTGGAACAGCCTGCCTGCAGAGTCTACCTCGCTGTTGTGTTGTATCTGCCCCATGAGGTTGGTGTGACAGTCCACATAGGAGAAGCTCTGTGTGGTGGTCCAAACAAGGAAGTTGATGTGCAAGGCCACAGGGTCAGCTGAGGGAAGCTCAGGGTTCAGAGTCTGTATTCCCTTCCTCCTGAGACAGAGCTTTAGATCTACGTGGTCATTGACAAATGTCATCTCCAAAGTGTTTCTCAATGACAGGTGCCCAGTTCTGCCCTCCATCACAGTCCAGGGCCTCCAGAGGAGACAGATCAGCAAGGTCAGACACTTGGCACCAGAGCCCATGTAAACATCTAGTTATTGAGGTCATTTGAGCCCCACAACACCCCTCCTCTTGGGGAGGCATTCTTCAAGAGGTTAAGAAATTCACAGAAGGCCTCAGAGCTATTGAGCAGTGGAGCTGAGGTTCTAACTGAGATCTGCTTGACCTCTGAAACCCACCACCCATGACCCCCAATAGGACAAGAGCAAGGCAGTCAGCGGACTCTTGGGACTGGATTTCACCTGCACAGGAGACTTCCAGCCTCTTTCTCCTCTCACTCCTCTTTGTCCCCACCCCTTTATTGGTGACATTGTGTTTCTAATAAGCATTTAAAATGAGTCTTGCTGGACCAGAGATGAGGAAGGAGGAGGGAATGAGACACATGTAGGCAGGAAGATGGGGCGGTGTGGGGGGGATCATGGGGTGTTAAATAGCCCAGAATTTTTAAAAACCTGATGCAAATCATTGGTAGGAGAGAAAATTACGTGCAATT